TTTTAAAAAAGGAAAGTGATTTAGGAATGGTTGAAAATTTTAATTTCGCGGGCCCGTGGCTCATTCGACCTAAAGGAAGCACGTGCTGAATTCGGACGTGTAAAGTTGGTTGTTAGGCCCAATTAGTTGCTAGATTTGGAACTACAGATGGCTAATCAATCTCGCCTCGGTAAAGTCGGTTAGTGGTTTTCAGTGTGTGTTGAGTTGGACCGGGAATTGTTATCGGGAAAGCATGACATTCATAGCATGATAGTATGTTTGTGTTGACTGTGGTTTATTGGTATTTCCATGCATGACCCCGAATCCCTTTCTCTATTCTTTGTTTGTTAAATCAAGGGAGCCCAAAGCGAATACTTTAGGCATCCCCTACTGAGCCATTGTGCTCACTCCATATTTATCATTTTTACTATATGGCAAAGACATTATAGACAACGTACCCCTGCAAGATTAGAGTGTAAGGATGAGCTTTTGACACCTTTTGTAATGGACTAGTATGAACAATGATTTTGCAATGTAATCACAATCTTTTGTATTTGTATAAATGCTTCAAAGATGTATGAATGATGATATTTGTAAATTTTATGCAATGTTAAATGGTTGATGATGTTCATGGAACCCTGAATTTCATGTTTAGATGGTTGGGAATTGTTTTTGACAGGGCTGGAAATCATAAATTTCGTTAAAATCATTATGTGGGCATCATCTAACCGGTTAAGAGGTTTTTCATAACCGGTTAGATGAAAAGGGGCAGTGAGTTGGTTTGATGGATTCTTTCCTATCTAACCAGTTAGGAGATCCTTCGTCACCGGTTAGATGTGAAGGGACAAAGAAGTGGGTTGGATAATTTTCCTTAAGTAACCAGTTAGATTTTTTTACGATTTCTTTTCTTCTGGCCATTCATGTAACCGGTTAGGAGAAATCTCCTAACCGGTTAGATGAACTGGAAAAAAAAATTAAAATAAATAAAATAAATAAAAATAAAAATAAAAAATTATATTATATTACCCAATGTCCCCTAAACCCCAACTAAAGTACAAAATAACCCTAGAAAATGACAGAAATACCCTTGAAAGGTATGAATGTTGTATTTTGACCAGAAAATGACTATTTTGCTCCTGAAGGTTTTATATCACTATTTCAATGCAGGAAAAGTCTATTTTACCCTTTTGGGTTTATTATTATTTTATAGCTATGAAAAAAGACCATTATACCCCTGTGAACTCTAAGAGTGTTAGAATAACATGGTTTGACTATAAGGCTTTCGGACCTCTTTTAATTCATGGAATGACTCAAGTAAATGACAGTTTTACCCTTTGTGGACCTTAAATCATTAAATTAAAGTAAAATGACCGTAGTACCCCTGCGTTACCTCGGGTCTGGGTAAGGACCCGGTTAGCGATCCGGACCCCTGGGTTTAGGTTGTTGCAGATTTGGTATCAGAACTATGGTTCGAAAACCATTAGGACGACGGGTAGAGGCCTACCTAAGGTTGTGTGGGAAGTTATTTGCATTGTATATGTGATTGTTTGCTAAGTGTTTTGTTGTTTGAAAAGCTTGCTTAACTGTCTACTTGTTTAATTGCTTATGTGGATATGTGCTAAGTGTTTAAAGTAGTTGTACGTTATTATCATGATCATGCTCATCATTGGTTAGGTTTTCTGAGATTATGGAACGTGTTAAGTGTTATCATTCCTATTGAGTCATTGTGTGAGGACTCCGTTCTAATGTGCGTAGTAGTGTCATTGTTTTTAATCTATTCCCTCGTTTTATAGCGTCATGCCACCACGAAGGGATCCCAGAGAAAGTTCTAGCTCTAATCCTATAGAAAGGGATCAGGAGCAAGTTGAAGAGGATATCTTGTTGCGTGATTTAGTCCCACTAAGAGGGGGACAAGCTAGGGGGACTGTTGATCCTCCTTTTCAGATAAATGAGGAATAGTTGCAGTTGGCCGTTAAGGCAGCTCTTTTTAATGCATTTCGATAGGCAAATACTTTATCATCACAGTTTGTGCCACCACCAGCACCACCCCCACCACCTCCAAAGACCAATGAGTTAGATGATACTCTTTATCACATTGCTAGGTTTGTGAAGTTGATGCCGACGCTGTTTGAAGGCGGTCCAGATTCGTTTGTTGCGGACGGTTTCATGGATAGGGTGGAGAAGCATATTAATGCTATGAGTTTGGCGACGGACAAGTTAAAGATCACTTTGGCAACTTATAACTTTGTTGGGGATGCTGAGATTTGGTGGAAGACCATTTCTTACACTCATAATTTGGATACGATGACTTATGCTGCATTTAAGAAATTGTATTATGAGAAGTACTTTCCGGCACCTAAGCAGAGAGAACTAAAGAAGGAGTTCGATGGGTTGAAACAAAGAAACATGACAGTTACTGAATATGAGAACAAGTTCACATCGCTTCTGAGGTTTGCAGAAAGACTTGCTGAGGATGAGGAAGGAAAGATAGAGAAATTTGTTGACGGCCTTGATTTCACCATTAGGCCATTTGTGGCTACTACAAAGCCAGTAGAATATGCAAAGGCAGTGAGGAAGGCCTTAGTTGTAGAGGTCGAGAACAAGGACAAGAAAGTCATTAAGGAGTCCTATAAGCTTAGTAGGAGTATGAATGCTACTTCTGAGGGTCAATCACAGAAAAAACCAAATAATGAACCACCAGGGTTCAGGTGACAACAGCCAGTCAGATCTGCACCCACAGCATCAGTGTCTCTGGGGTCTTCTAGGCCAGATGTCACGTGTTTCAAGTGCAGGCAGCCCAGGCATTACAAGTCGCAGTGCCCTCAGATTCAGATGGCTACGGGAGGATGTTTTGGGTGTGGCCAGCAGGGCCACCGGGTGAGAGACTGTCCACAGCAGAGCAAAGGCTCAGATAGGGGTGGAGGTTCACAACAGAGGCAGACACGGTCCACCACAGTTCAGTTAGGATTTCGATCACCACCACCACCCCAACCATCCCAGCCAGCTATGTCAGCCCAGGGTTCTCGACCAGGCAAAGGGACTTCTTCGAGTGCACCCACTCAACAGTCTGGTTATCAAACAGGTGGTTCCCAAGGGCAGAGGACTCAGGGTCGTGTGTTTGCGCTCACTCCAGCCGAGCCATCATCCAGTCCTTCAGTTGTTAAGGGTATGTTTATTGTGTTCCATTCTTGAGCTCGTGTATTGTTTGATTCTGGTGCCTCTTATTCCTTCATTGCTTCATCATTTGCATGGGCATTGGGTTTGGAGGTCAGTCAGTTAGACAGACCATTTTGTGTTGACACACCTATTAGGGATTCAGTCACTCTTGGTAGGGTTTGTAAGAATTGTTCCATCACCATTGTTGGGTGAGTACTCGAGTACGATCTCATCCTTCTCGAGATGACAGGGTTTGATGTCATTATTGGGATGGACTGGTTGTCGTCTTTCAAAGCCGTCATTGATTGTTTCAGGGGTAGGGTTTCAGTGTGTACCCCAGATGGGGATTGTTTCTATTTTGTGGGAGATCGGTGTGATTCTTTCACTCCTTCAGTTTACGGTGTTAGAGGTTGGGATTGACAGGGGTTCTTTTTGGCTAGCCTGTTTGCTGATGATGGTGTTGAGTTTCGCGGGGTCAATTATCCTGTGGTTGTATGCGATTTTCTGGATGTGTTTCCGGAGGACTTGACGGAGTTGCCTCCACATCAAAAGGTGGAGTTTGCTATTGATTTAATGCCTGGTACTGCACCAATTTCTATGGCATCGTATCATATGGCACCAATTGAATTGGAAGAATTGAAGAAGCAGATTGATGATTTGAGGGTGAAGAGTTTAATCCGACCGAGTGTGTCACCGTGTGGTGCATCAGTCTTGTTTGCTAAGAAGAAAGATGGTTCTTTGAGGTTGTGTATTGATTACCAAAAGTTGAATCATGTCACCATTAAGAAAAAATATCCTTTACCAAGGATAGATGATTTGTTTGACTAATTAAAAGGAACCGGTTGTTTTTCGAAGATTGACTTGAGGTCTGGCTATTATCAGTTGCGAGTAAGGGAGGAGGATATCCCAAAAACAGCGTTCCGTACACGATATGGACACTACGAGTTCCTTGTATTCCATTTGGCTTGACTACTGCGCCAGCGACATTCATGTACTTAATGAATCGTGTCTTCTACGATTACTTGGACCAATTTGTGGTAGTTTTCGTGGATGACATACTTGTGTATTCACGGACTTGGGAGGAGCACAAGGTCCATTTGAGTATAGTATTACAGATTTTACAGGAGCACCGCTTGTATGCCACATATGAGAAATGTGAATTTTGGCTACAAGAGGTGAAGTTTTTGGGGCATGTGGTTTCAGAAGGCGAGGTTTCAGTTGATTCTTCAAAGATAGAGGCAATTTTGAATTGGGAACATCCTAAGAATGTTTTTGAGATACGCAGTTTCCTGGGCCTAGCGGGTTATTATCGGAGATTTGTGAAGGACTTTTCTCGTCTGGCAGCGCCTATGACTCGCTTGACTCGGAAAGGGATCAAGTTTACATGGAATAAAGCCTGTGAGTCATCCTTTCAAGAGTTGAAGACAAGATTGACTACGACTTTAGTGTTGGTGATACCCAAGCGTGGGTTGGGTTATGTGATCTATTGTGATGTTTCACGTGATGGGCTAGGTTATGTGCTGATGCAGGATGGTAGAGTATTGGCTTATGGGTCTTGGCAGTTGAAGACTCATGAGCTTAACTACCCTACTCATGATCTGGAATTGGCAGCATTCGTATTTGCTTTGAAGTACTGGAGGCACTATTTGTATAGTGAGAGATTCGAGGTATTCTCGGATCATAAGAGTCTCAAGTACCTTTTCTCCCAAAAGGACTTGAACAACAGACAAAGATGATGGGTTGAATTTTTGGAGGACTACAATTTTGATTTACAGTATCATCCGGGCAAGGCAAATGTGGTAACCGATGCCTTAAGTCAGAAATCTCGTGGGACTTTGGCTGGTTTGGCTATTCGGAAATAGAAGATGCTTGAAGATTTGGCAGAGATGGGATTACAGTGTTTCGACGGTGACTATGGCAGTGAGTCGGCATTCTTGTTTAGTCTTGTGGCTCAGCCTACTCTTATCGGACGAGTAATTGAGTCACAGAAACAGGATCCGGATTTGGATGCCATTCACACCTTAATCTCCAATGGTGAGACAGTGAAAGATTGGACCTTATATACAGATGGAGATCTACGATTTAGGGGATTGTTGGTTGTTTCCACAGTTTGTCATAAGGATGTTCTACGGGAGTTTCACACTTCCCACTTTGCAGTTCATCCAGGTGGTACCAAAATGTATCACAATCTGAGACGTCAGTATTGGTGGAATGGAATGAAGAAGGACGTTGCACAGTTTGTGGCCAAATACCTTACCTGTCAACAAGTGAAGGCCGAGCATCAAAGACCAGCTGATTTATTGCAGCCATTGCCGGTAGCGCAGTGGAAATGGGAGGAGATTGCTATGGATTTTGTGACAGGCCTTCCTAGGTCACGAAGGGGAAATGAGGCCGTATGGGTCATCATTGACAAATTTACCAAGACGGCTCACTTCTTGCCTATTAAGGCAACAGATGAGATACCCCTCGGATCCAAGACACGGGTTAATCAGGCCCAGGCCCAAACCCGAGGGAATATCAAACAATTAATATTTTATAATGAACACGGAATACAAAATAAATTAAGAAATGAAATTAAAGCTGGAAGGAACTAAAAATAGAATCCGCAAAATATTATAATTATTAAAATCCATCAAACCCAAACTCCAAAACTCCATCAGTTTACAACTTGGGAATCCATCTCTAGTGGACCCCTATTAAACATCCAAACGGAAGATAGAACAAATGTAATAAACGTCCAGAAATAAAACTATAGAGAGAGCCTTACATCGTCGGAAGAGTGAATAGAGACCTCTGTTCAGCACGAACACGTCTAAGCCTGGAACTGTCGTGTACCTGAAAAATAGAAGTGGGTCAGGCCCACGCGCAAGTTCTATACTACTACAATCCAAACAGAGGCCCGATACGCATGTACATCCTAAACAATTCAACAATAGCTAATAGTCCGTAAATATATATATAGTCACACTAAAGGACTCTCACTGGACTACAGGTCGGTCTCAACCTGAATAGAGGTAACATGCTAAAACGCACACGAAGTGGGCATATGTACATATACCTAAATAGGGTACACCTCCAACCATCGTAGCCAGCTACACATCCCGATGAATATACGCTCCCTAGCCATCGGTCCTGAGGCTCAAGCTCATACCGAGGCACCATAACAGTACATATATAAAATCCATCCAAAATCCCTGGTATTGCCGCTCAACAAGTAGTTGCCATGACAATACAAATCCACGGGACTTAACTTTTAGTTAATCCCATTCTTATTCCAAGTAGGTGGGTAATGGTATTGATTTAAAAACCAAACTCATCCTTAGTATGCCACCGTCCCATACCGGTGCCTACTTTCCAATCCTCCAGTAGTCAATAATACCAATAAATCAAGTATATATCAACTAAATTCCAACATCCAACATTCAATGTTAGCAGTATTAAAATCAGCATTGAAAAACAGGGTCACAACAACAACATATACATGCCCAATTTAAGTTGTTCCCTTTAGTCTGATATAAAGACAGAATTAATTAAAACTTCCATTTAACACCTTACAAATGACATACAGATATGTAGGGTATGTATCACAAAATCCTAACCTCCACAGTTGATACTAACTGTGATAATGTAAGCATCAAAACAATATTCACAGTATGTATGTAGACATGCTCAAATTATAGTGTTCCACAAAACCGATCTAGTGTTAAACTCAAATCCTCCTAGTATTTAAGTTCCAACAGTTGCTATTACAGAAGTTAAGATAGCTATCATCTAGACCCATCCTTCCAATAATTTATACTAGCAGTGGTAAGGAAAAACGTGAACCACGGAACCACAATGCAACCACAAACATGCTTAGTCTAGGTTGAACAAGCATACAACACTACTGTAACTACCAGTTTCATAGCAAAACAGATATCATTTTAGTTTAGTTTAATCTTCATTAATCCTGGAATCATTTAAGAGTGCAAAGAGTATGAAGCCTAAGGGAAAGAGTAAGGATAGAATCTTGCCTCAGAAACTTTTGTTCAAAGTTTCAACGTCGTCTTCTTAAAAAATCCCGGCGAGTTCCAAAATCCGGTTACTGTTCACGGGTACGAAACACTATTCCCGAACTCAAAATCTGATCTCCACCATTCAGATTGTGCAACACTGAGTCATGAACCTATCCTCCAAATTTCAGCTCGATCGGACCACGGACGAAGCGGGATCGTATGTTTGATGAAATTTGGGCAGAATTGAAGAAAAACCTGTGCGACCCAGTTACTGTTCACAAGTACGAATCACTGTTCCCCAGGTCAAACTCTGATCTTCACCGTTCAGATTGTGCTTCACTGAGTCATGAACCTCTCCTCCAAAATTCAACTCGATCGGACCACGGACGAAGCAGGATCGGATGTTTGATGAAATCTGGGCAGAATGGAAAAAACCTGCGCGACCCAGTTACTGTTCACGAGTACGAATCACTGTTCCCGAGGTCAAACTCTGATCTTCACCGTTCAGATTGTGCGTCACTGAGTCGTGAACCTCTCCTCCAAAATTCAGCTCGATCAGACCACGGATGAAGCGGGATCGGAGCTTTGATCAAACTTTGGCAGAATGTGAAAAACTGCGTTTTTCCTTCTCCACTTCCACAAAACGTGTGCTTTGTTTAAAAAAACCCTACACAGACGTCTATTTTATACTTATAGAGTTTTCCTAAACCCTAGGTTCATTTAAGTTCAACTCACAATCCTAACCGGCCCATCCAATTAACGTAGAAACCTACGACGGCTATAATATAAAACCCTAATTTATACTGTAATTAAAACCCTAGTTAGATGTATTTACCTAATTACCCTATTCACCATTAAATACTTAACAAATAATCTAATTGAACAAAATAATAATTAGTAAACCCAATTAAACCAAATAAGACACACATAGAATAATTAAACCAATTACATTTAAACCATTAACGCCAATTAAATAATTAAAACACTAACGCCAATTAAATAATTAAAACACTAACAAGTAATTCCAATCAAATAACTAAAAATAAATATCATTTAAATAAATTAAATCACCACAAAAGAAAACAATTAAGCACCTAATAAAAAAAATAATGACACATAATCAAATAAAATGCACTTAAATAATAAATTAAATACCATTAAATACCAGGAATATCCTTTTTAAAATTAGGGGTATTACAACAGATGATGCAGAAGCACTTAATGTGTTATATGTGAAGGAAGTTGTGCAGTTGCATGGAGTTCCTTTATCTATTGTATCGGACAAGAATGCCAAGTTCACTTCGAAGTTCTGAGAAGGACTTCAGGCAGCTTTTGGTTCATCGTTGCACCTTAGTACGGCATTTCATCCACAAACGGACGGCCAGTCGGAGCATACCATCCAAATCTTGGAGGATATGTTTCGGGCCTGTGTACTTGATTTGGGAGGTAGTTGGGAAGATCACCTACCGTTTATCGAGTTTGCCTACAACAACAGTTATCAGGCGAGCATTGAGATGGCTCCATTTGAGGCGTTGTATGGAAGACCTTGTAGGTCTCCAGTTTGTTGGACTAAGGTAGGTGAGACAGCCGCCTTAGGACCCGACATTATACTAGAGACCACCGAGAAGATTAAGTTGATCAGACAGAGGTTGCTCACAGCTCAGAGCCGACAGAAGAGTTATGCGGATAAGTGAAGACGACCACTATCTTTTGAGGTGGGAGACCACGTTTTTCTACGGGTTTCTCCACGAAAGGGGTTGATGAAGTTCGAGAAGAGTGGCAAGTTATCGCCGCGATTCATTTGACCGTTTGAGATCTTGGAACATGTAGGAGAGGTTGCCTGCAGACTTGCATTACCACCACAGATGGACAGAGTCCATAGTGTTTTCCATGTATCAATGTTACGAAAATATGAGCTATATCCGTCTCACGTTTTGAGTTGGGTTGATGTGGACATTAATGAAGATGTTTCTTACGAGGAGGGACCAGTTCAGATCCTTGACACACGGCAGAAGGTGTTAAGGGACAAGACAATACCATTGGTGAAAGTTCTTTGGAGACATCACGGAGTTGAGGAGGCCACTTGGGAACTTGAACAGGAGGTTCGCTCCAAGTATCCAGTGTTATTTTCTTCCCCAGGTATGGCTTGATTTAGGGGAAAAAATCCCTTTAAGTTGGGGAGAATGTAATGTTTCTAAATTTTGTCATTTTCCATTTTCTGGAAATTTCTTTTTGGATATTTGGGTCTTTTCTCATTTTGCGTGCCGTGTGGGTCCCGGTGTTGTTTTCCCATTTACCATACATTTATCTTTATGTGAGTTAATGTGTTAAATGGGTATACATATGTGGTATGTGGGTGGAGATTGATATTTTGTGGCATGGTGTAATTTTAGTGATCTTTGGAGGGTACTTTTGGCAATTGAGCATGGGTGAACTTTTGACCCATTTTTAACCACACATTTGAGGAAATGATTGGCCAAGCTTAGACCACCACCTCACTTCCTCCTGCTACCATTTTCGTCACTCTCACACTCTCCCTCCTCCATTCACTTTATCTCTCTAAATCTCAAGCTTCTCTCTAAGGTTTGAGCTACCTAAAGGAAGATATAGGTGGGGAGCACAAAGGAAAGTTGTTCTACTCTTTAAGATCTTCATTTCTCATCCGGTCTTACATGTATTTAGGGATTTTCGAGCTTGGGAGTTAAGGGTTTAGTTTGCATTCTTGAGGTAGGGATGTTTAAAGTATCATGCTTTATCTCTTGTTTGAGTTTCTTTATTTGATTCCGTGTTTTACTTGTTCTAAATGCTAAATCTCAAGTTGAAATGTGTTGAATGTTGAATAGAAAAAGCATGCTTATATGTGTTGTTGATTAAATGTGTAATTTGGTTGCTATGACTTTGAAAGCATGAAATCATTAATCTCTATGATGCATGAATTCATTTGTGGCATAAGCATGGTTGGGAAATTGTGGTTGAAATGTTGTTTTTAAAAAGGAAAGTGATTTGGGAATGGTTGAAAAATGTGATTTTATGAAAGGAACCGGGTTTCGCGAGCCCGGGGCTAATTCGACCTAGAGGGAGCGCGTGTCGGATTCGGACGTGTAAAGTTGGTTGTTAGGCCCAATTAGTTGCCGAATTTGGAACTACAGATGGCTAGTCAATCTCGCCTCGATAAAATCGATTAGTGGTTTTCAATGTGTGTTGAGTTGGACCGGGAATTGTGGTTGGGAAAGCATGACATTCATAGCATGATGGTATGTTTGTGTTGATTATGGTTTATTGGTATTTCCATGCATGACCCCGAATCCCTTTTCTCTATTCTTTGTTTGTTAACTCAAGGGAGCCCAAAGCTAATGCTTTAGGCATCCCTTACTAAGCTATTGTGCTCACCCCATATTTATCATTTTCAGGATATGGCAAGGGCATTGTAGACGACGTACCCCCGCAAGCTTAGAGTGTAGGGATAAGCTTTTGACACCTTTTGTAATGGACTAGTATGAACAATGATTTTGCAATGTAATCACAATCTTTTGTATTTGTATAAATGCTTCAAAGATGTATGAATGATGATATTTATAAATTTTATGCAATGTTAAATGGTTGATGATGTTCATGGAACCTTGAATTTCATGTTTAGATGGTTGGGAATTGTTTTTGACAGGGCTGGAAATCAGAAATTTCATTAGAATCATTCTGTGGGCATCATCTAACCGGTTAGGAGGTTTTTTGTAACCGGTTAGATGAAAAGGGGCAGTGAGTTGGTTTGATAGGTTCTTTCCTATCTAACCAGTTAGGAAATCCTTTGTAACCAGTTAGATGTGAAGGGACAGAGAAGGGGGTTGGATAATTTTCCTTAAGTAACCGGTTAGATAAGGTTTCTTAACCGGTTAGATTTTTTTTACGATTTCTTTTCTTCTAGCCATTCATGTAACCCGTTAGAAGAAATCTCCTAACTGGTTAGATGAACTGAAAAAAAATAAATAAATAAATAAATAAATAAATTAGAAATTTATATTACCCAATGGCCCCCAGACCCCAACTAAAGTACAGAATAACCCTAGAAAATGACAGAATTACCCCTGAAAGGTATGAATGTTGTATTTTGACCAGAAAATGACTATTTTGCCCCTGAAGGTTTTATATCACTATTTCAATGCAGGAAAAGTCTATTTTACCCTTTGGGTTTATTATTATTTTATGGCCATGCAAAAAGACCATTATACCCCTGTGAACTCTAAGAGTATTAGAATGACATGGTTTGACTATAAGGCCTTCGGACCTCTTTTAATTCATAGAATGACTCAAGTAAATGACGGTTTTACCCTTTGTGGACCTTAAATCATTAAATTAAAGTGAAATGACCGTAGTACCCCTGCATTACCTCGGGTCTGGGTAAGGACCCGGTTAGCGATCCGGACCCCCGGATTTGGGTCGTTACAGCCTAGGGCCAATTCCCTTCGGTTCCTTTCATGGTGGCATTGCGCTATAAAACGAGAAAACGGTTTAACAACAATAAAACTAAAGTCCAACCGAGGACGACTCAACACGAATGATGCAATACTAACACTTAGCATGCGAAACTATGCAACAAGTACACCAACATAAGCATATAAGCACATAAACACGTAAGCAAGTAGGCAGTTAAGCATATTTTTGCAAATAAGTAAACACTTTAGCAAATAAGCACATAATCAATGCAAATACCTTCCTATGCAACCCTATGTAGGCCTCTACCCGTCGTCCTAATGGTATTTGAACCATCACTCTGATACCAATTCTGTGACGACCCGAACCCGTGGGTCCGAATCGTTAACCTAGTCCTTACCCAAACCCAAGGTCAACTAGATCAACCCGTTATTACTAGTGTCAAAAACAACATCCTTAAGTAATAAATACACTTCACAAAGGTTCTAAATAACTTTCCAGGGCGTAGGATGAGTCATACCCAAATAAGAAATAAAGTGGGCAGGACTGGTGCAGTTCGGTCGACCGAAGTGGGGGTTCGGTCAGCCGAAACAACCTGTAATACCCCTACTTTCAAAAGGATAGTCCTGGTATTTTATTAATTGTTTAGGTTGCATTTTTATTTATTTAATTGTTTATTTTCTTGATTATTTGAATTCTTTGATGAATTGTTTTATTTACTTGTGTTTTATTTTTTGTAATTGAATTGAGTGTTTTATTTATTTGTTTTAGTTATTGTATTTAATTGAAATTCTTATTTAACTTAAATTAGTGGTTTTTAATTATTGTATGCTTATGTGGATTTAAATAAATAATTATTTTTAATTTAATTGTTTTATGGTCTCTGATTATTATTATTATTTTAGGGTTTTAGTGTGTCACGGTTAGCCGACTTAGATATCATATGTATGTTTTTCCCGTCTCTAAATTAAACTGGGATTAGGGTTGTGAGTGAAGCCTATAAATATCTGTATCAATCTGCCAAGGGGTTTTAGAATCCTATACACGTACTGGAGGCAGAGAGGAAACACAGAGAGATACGGAGAAAAACAGTGAGTGAGCTTGGGTGATTAACAAAGCAGTTCAAGGAGGAAGGAACGTGGTTGCTTTTGGGTTAAACCAAAGCACCAAAGGTGTAGAACTGCAGTCTAGGACGTGGACTGATTATTCAGAGACTGTGGATTAGAGTTTCAAAAACTGAAACTCAAGGCAAGTCTCTGTTCTACTCTTTCCCTTAAGCCTGTGTTCTGTGCATGCTTAAATGGTCTCCAGGACTTAAAATTGAATTTATTTCATTCATACAAGCATGTCTAAATTAAGTTTAAATCGTTGTATTCAAAACTGTTTTGTGATTAAGAGTTATTCGTGCTTAAAAGTCTGTTTGCATTAGTTTTAATCTTGCGTAACCTTTGTGTATTTGGGATTGGAGGCATGCTTATAATTAATTTTGGACATCAATGGAACCCTAGGTAGTTAAATAAAAATTGTACTGAGGGTCTTGCATGTCACCGGAGGCGAAGAAGACAACCGGAAAAGCGTTACGGCTCTCAACGGAGAAGAGACGGTTCACCAAAGGAGGGAGCCGGATCTAGGGATGAGAAAGCCGGCTCCCACATGGGGAGCCAGCTCTACAAGGGGTAGAGCCGGCTCCCACTAGGGTGGAGCCAGCTCCACCAAGGGGAGAGCCAGCTCCCTTGTTTTGGAGGCGGCTCTTCCTCCGGCTTTGTGGTTTTTCGATGGTTAGGGGTTCTGTTGGGCAGTTTGGATTAATTTTAAATTGTTTAGATTGCAGATCATGGTCTATATAATTGTTATAAGCATGTAAAAATACTGGGAAGCATGAAACAACATAGGATTAAACAGGAAGCTTGCATGTGGAAGGTTGGACAGTTAGTTTAAATTGCTTACTAAAATTTTTAGCAATTTGTATTTACATGATTTAATACTGTTAATCATGTTGTAACACTGTATTGAGCATAGTTGATTATTTGAAATATTTATGCTTAAATTGGAGTACTTGATGTGGTAATTTATATAACTACATAAATCTATGGACTGTTTGGAGGAGTTAAATGCGTAATCTTACTTCGTCAATTTAAAGGACTGGAACATGATTTCTAAATCTTAAATTGGATGCATAAATTGGTCATACATATAATAGACTGTGTTTATCCTTATTTTGGAGTATGGTTGATGAGTATTTATTATTGATTTGTCAACTATATTGGATGGAGGATGGTATGCGCCGGTATGGGACGATGGCATACTAGGTATGGATTAGTTCAAACACTATAACCTATCTATTCTGGATTGAGGTGTGGATTTACCATAAAGGTTCAGTCCTACACATATTTGTGTCATATCAATAAAGAATTGAACGACCTTTTTGGTTTCTGGATGAATTGTTATACTTATATCAGACCACTACAACAGATGGATGATATTTTGTATTAGGAGTATACGGACTTTATATACATATCATTATGGTGCCATGGTATGAGCTTGAGTCTCAGGACCATGGTTAGGGTGCGTATATCGCCGAGGATAGATAACTAGACATAGCTATTGTTCGCTAGTAGGTCTAGGTACACATGACCACATTATGTGCGATTTGCATGGTATCTCTTACTCAGGCTCAGACAGACCTATTAGACTAGTGAGCGTCCTATAATGTGTACTTATACATATATGGACTACTCTAGATATTGTTGAGTCTATCTAAGATGTATCTGCGTATTGGGTTTATGTTTGGATCGTAGTAGAATAGGACTTGCATGTGGGCCTGACCCACTCTCTTATTTTTCAGGTGCTCGTCAGTTCCAGGGTTAGAGCTTGGTCGTGTAGAGCAAATACAGACTTCTATTCCACCGACTACGTAGGACTGCTTACTTATCAGCTTTGGATCTTATTTCAGTTATTTTATTTTACAGCTGAGATTTTTATTAGGGGTCCACTAGATGGATTCCCGAGTTGTTAATTAATTGGAGGTTTCGGGTTAGTGGATGTTCAGTTTTAATATTTAAGGATTTTGTTTAGTTTTCCTTCAGCTATTAATTATTTCTTATTTCAACTTGTATTCTGTATTCGTTTTAAATATTAATTGTTTGATATTTCCCTCGGGTTTGGGCCTAGGCCTGATCAATCCGTTTCTCGGATCCGAGGAGTATCATACAACCTCTCTGTACCGATCGATCAAAACAAGCACTTCGGTCGGCCGGTTGTGACTTTTACAGTAATTGAAGTCTCTGGATGAACCGGTCGGCCGAAACAGGCATTTCAGTCGGCCGAAATGGCTACTCGAGCTAAAAACCTGCTACTGAAATGCTAAAATCCTGAAATGAATAAAAGTCTATGGAAAACTTTACAAATCTGCTTCAAACTTGTTCAAAAAAAAAAAAAAACACAGATGGTTATAATCACCTGGCTAATTAAGACCCGCATGACGATGCATTATAGAGATACAAATTTTATACATATGGTGAATTGGGAAAAAATAAATGAGACACAACAACAGAAATCTACCTAAAAATTGAATTGATTTGTTGAACCCCATCATCTTTGGTGGCTGATGGGTGAGGTAAAGGTTTGGACTCTTTGGAGATAGACAATAATTAGGGGTATTTTTTATATTTTAATTTTATAATATTTTTTATTAAAATACATTAAAAAATGAGGACATATATGATACTTCACATCTTTTTAACGGTGTCAAAAGTAAAATTGGACTTAAATGATAATAATTTTTGAAAGGTATAATCTCAAGACATGTCACTGAAATGAACCTTTTTCTTTAATTGTGGTTGTTTGGGTTTATTTCGTTATCCATTGATAAAGGAATAACTGCCAATTCAATGGCCTAGTTAGCATAACCATAACTTTCGGACAAACTGTGTCGATGTTTGAGTCCCTTTTCTCTACTCTACAAAATATATATATATATATATATGATTCACAAGTATGCCTATATATAATAGGGTAAAGTGATAAAAATAAATAAATAAATAAAATAAATAAATAAATGAGACACAACAACAGAAATCTACCTAAAAATTGAATTGATTTGTTGAACCCCATCATCTTTGGTGGCTGATGGGTGAAGTAAGGGTTTGGACTCTTTGGAGATAGACAATAATTAGGGGTATTTTTGATATTTTAATTTTATAATATTTTTTATTAAAATACATTAAAAAATGAGGACATATATGATACTTCACATCTTTTTAACGGTGTCAAAAGTAAAATTGGACCTAAATG